GATGAAATCTGTCAAGGTTCCGCATCTCTCTAAGTACCCCTCCCCCCTCCCGTTTGAGTCATCCCTCGCTCTCCCTCCAGCAGGGCTGCTCTTGTGGCTCTCCCCCCCCAGGGGGCTCACCCTCCTCCCCCCCACGAGAGAAAGGCCAGTCTCAGGGCCGGCTCTACTCTGGCTGCAGAGGGGGCAGAGCAGGTCCCCCCCCCGCATTTGGGCCTCTTATTGCAGTGGGGGTGGAGGGGTGTCGGAGAGGCAGACCTGCAAGAGCTGAGCATGAGAAAGCACCCCAAAGCAGGAGATTCGTTCCCACGCCTGTCTGCCCTCCCTTGTCCAGCCTCCTCCCTCTGGCCATCCTCCCTGGAGACCCCCTGGCATACCCTCCCCCCGGCCCCCCATTTCCCCTCAGATCCTTGACCCAGTTGCCCACGGTGGAGGGCAGAAGCCAAAGGGGAACCAGGGCAGCAGCAGGTGCCTTGCATGCCTGCAATGGGCGCCAGGGACGGGCAGCAAACTGAGACGGGGAGGGGGGGCACGGAGCCCGCAGGCCTGGCATTTCTCAGCTGCAGCCTTGAGCGTCTCTTCACTTCAGGTTCTGGGAGAGTTCCCACCCCTCCCTCCCTCCCTCCCTCCCTCCCCTGGGATCACTCAACAAGAACCGGCCTTTTAATTTCCTGCGGTGGCTGGCAAGGCCGCCCATGGGCTGCTGGCCGGAAAGAGCATCCCCACACCAGAGTCAATAGCTGGAGCAGCTGCCAGCCATGTCTCCAGCTCCACAGGAGGACTGGCAGCCCCCCACCCATCCAGAAGACACCTGCAGCTCCCGGGAAGGAGCCTGCTTGGCGCCCCTCCCTCTCAGAGCCCTCCCCCCCTAACCAGAGACCCCCCTCCCTTGCTGCTCTTGGAAGCCAGGAGGACTAGGTGTTCCTGGTCAAAGCACATACAGGTCAGGGTGGGCGGGTTTCCCCCAGCGTTTGACGGAGGAAGCAAGCCCCCAAACCTGGCCTGGCTGGGCACAGGGGACCAGCCAGGAAACAGCTGCCAGAGTCCACCAAGGGGACTGGAAGCTAAAACCTACGGAGCCAGCGGTCTGCTGTAGCCATCCCAAAGGCCAACACAGTCCTAGTCTGCATCAACAGAGGGACAGAATCACAGGAAGTGTGAGTAGCACTTTACAACACCTTGGTAAGAGCGCACTGGGAATATTGCATCCGGTTGTCCCAAAGTGCACGGCTAAATGTCCGTGGAGATCCTCCGTCATCCAGGTTACGGCTGTCCTGAAGGTGCTTTTTCACGAGGCAACTGGACTTTCTTGTTTTTCTTTGAAGACGTTTCTTCAGAGCTGAAGAAGCTTCTCGGATGAAAAGCAAAACGTCTTCAAAGAAAAACAAGAAAGTCCAGTTTCCTCCTGAAAAAGCACCTTCGGGACAGCCGTGACCTGGATGAATGAGGATCTCCACAAACAAATTGCATCCAGTTTTGGTCACCAAAACATAAAAAAGAGGTAGAGGCTCTGGAAAGAGAGCAGAGAAAAGCAATAAAGATTATGAGGGGGCTGGAGACCAAAACATATGAAGAATGATGGCTGGAATTGGGTATGTCTAGTTTAATGAAAAGAAGGACATGATAGCAGGGTTCCAGTATCTCAGGGGCTGCCCCAAAGAAGAGGGAGTCAAGCTATTCTCCAAAGCACCAGAGGGCAGGACAAGAAGCAACGGATGGAAACTCATCCAGGAGAGAAGCAACCTAAAGGAGAAATTTCCTGGCAGTGAGAACAATTAATCAGTGGGATGGCTTTCCCCAGAAGTTGTGGGTGCTCAATCACTGGGGGGTTTCAAGAAGAGATTTGCCCCGAATAGTTTAGGGTCTCCTTTGTGGGTGGGGGGGATTGGACTAGAGGACCTCAAACATCCCTTACTCTGTCTGCCTCCTGCTTAGGCACCTGCAGTGTCAGCAAAGGAGCATTCTGGCAAAGGATCTCCCCCCCCCAAGATCCCAGATCAATGCTTGGTCTGAGATGCCCCCCTCCAGCATCCTAGAACCCTGATCCAGGCGCAGGTGCCTCGGATGAAGGGGGCCAGGGAAAGTCAGGGAAACCAAAAGGGGGAAGGAGTCCCCGGCCCCTCGATGGTGGTCAAGTGTGGGCCAGGGAGGGAGTCGGGGCAGAACCTGGCTGTCTCTTTGCAGCCAACCCCCCTTGGCCCCCAATGCTCCTCTGCACAGAAGGGCCCCCTGGTCCTGAAAGGGGAGGGCAGGGGAGGGCCTGGCAGAGGCTGCCTACAGCAGCTGTGGGAAGGCAGGCCGAGAGGACTCCTGCTTGGGACTCTTGTGGGTCCTGCAGGGGATCAGAGCCGAAGGGGGCCAGCACTGCAGAGCGAAGGTGCTGCTCCTTCGAAGCCAGGCTGCCGTCCTGCCCGCTGGCGGGCACCTGCCTGGCGCTGGGAGGAGGAGACGGCCGGCCTGCCGAGCTGCAGGTTTTCCTTCCCCTCCAGGCCCTGCCTTGCGCCCCTGCCAAGCAGAGCAGGGTCTGCAGAGACCCCCCCTCTGAGGAGCAGCAGGCTCTGGGGGTGGGTGAATTATACTTCCTAGCAGCTCTTTAGTCATCACTTCATTTCCCAACCAGATCTGTCACATTTTACATGTTCATTGTTTTTGATTTAATAATTAAAAAACAACAACCCAAAGAAGCAGTGAAAACCACCAGCCTGGGTGCCACAGAAACGTCAGCGTCATGGGTGGAACTGCAGCCCCCACCCGGTAAAGCTGTGCGGTGCTCAGGGATCCCCAAGCCCATAACTGCTCTCCCAGCCTTCGCCCACTTCGTCCGTACACCCATCTCCCCCGGACCCTGCTTTTTGAACGTGGCGACCGTGCCAAGACACGAGGACATGGAAACGGCGGTGGGCTCTCTCTGCCCCTGACCTGGCCCCGCCTTGCCAGGGGCCCCCATGTCAAGGGGTCAGTTGTGGTTTGGCCTCCAGCACACCTGTGGCTCCCTCTTCTTGCACCTTTGGGGAAGGTGAGAGACCCCAGACCCAGAAGCCCCTGCTTCCTTTTGGGATCCCCTGTTCAAGGAACCAAGAAACCCACCTCACCCCACCCCACCCACCCCCCAATCAGCTGGTCTCCATCTTGAAGGCATCTGACCTACATCCGCCAGAGCTCAACACGGTTCTCCAGTAACTGTATCCCATATTTTAGATGAATTAAATACGTCTCTTAATAAACCTGATTATAGTAATCTAAAGTGCTTTATTCCACTTCACTGCTCCATGGCACTGCCACATCAGACTGGGAACGTGAGTTCCACAGGTGTCCTTGGCCCTCAGGGATGCTCTGAGAGCTTTGGGTTGGGGGGATCCTGCGTGGGGGACCCAGTCAGTCCTGCTGCTCAGCTGGACCAAAAGCCCCAGGTCTCACCTGGCAAAAGATGCTGGGCACACTTCTGGGATGGCAAAGACTTCTGCAGAAGAAGGCCCCACATCAGCACCTCAGTTCTCCAGAATATGCTCCTCCCGGGGAGCGGGGGGGCTGTGACCCACGCAGAATGCATCTGCCCTTGGAGTTCCACCTCCTGGCCCCCACTGCCAGCCTCCCACAGTGGCTGTGGGGAACTGGGCATCACGGTCTGGAGCAATGCCTGGCTCCTACCGGGGCACCCCCACCCTTTGCTCAGAGCACTGCCAGTTCCAGGAGGTCCCTTGCCAAGAGAGCTGGACCTCGGCTGCAGAGCCCTTGCACCAGGGCTGCCCAATGCCCTCCCAACACATCGAGCTGGGCACAGATGCTGGGCAGGAGCCAGGGGCCAGCAAGACCCTGACTGGACAGGCAGCCCATTCTCAACAGTGGCTGTGTGTGTGTGGGGGCTGGTTGATTCTGAACAAGATATGGGAGGGAGGGGGAGCCTCCAGCCAGCAAGGCAAGGAGACTCCTGCGCAACAACGCTCGCTCCCTCCATGAGGCTGGGCTCCTGCAGCGTTTCCTCCCCCAGATCCACGGCCAGCAGCCCCTTCACCTTTGCACGGAGGGGGCCCTTGAGGGAGAACAGAGAGCCACACCAACCCCCCAACTGCCAGGGGAAGGGGGGGAGGAAGAGAGTTGGAGGTGCCTGCTCCAATCAGATGGCATCTGCCTTGGCTCATGCCATCCCACACATCCCCTGTAGACACACAGGGCCCAGGATCACCGGTGCCCCTGCCAGTCACTGGATTGTTCTCTCCACTCAGCTGGGCTGGCACCAGGCAGGGGCACAGTCATTCAAATCCCAGCTGCCCAGAGGGCGGCTGCACAGTTGACTGCCCTCCCAGGGGTGCCATTGCCAGGGCAGCCGTGGGGGGGCTGCAGCAAGGAGCTGGGTTCAAGTGTTTTGCTTCTGGACGGCGCTGGGTCTGCAGCAAAGGATCCGTCCCTGAAGGCAGTGGCGGGCAAGGAGAGGGGAGCGCAACTGCCCGGCGCCCTCGGCCTCTCGGCGAGGCAGCGGCGCGGGCTGAAAGGCCGCGGGAGAAGGAGCGCCGCATTCTGGGCCGGCGTTTGGGGGAGGGGTCCTTCCGTGGCGCAGAAGCGACCCCCGGCAGCTCGCCCACCGCGGAAGTTCAGCGCCCGGCAGCGAAGGGCGCCCGGCGCATCCGCAACGGGGGCGGCGCCTTCCAGAGAGCAGCGGGGGCTCTGCGCGGAGCGGGGGTCCTCGCAGGGCCACGGCGGCTCCGGGGCGGCCCAGGCGGGGGTCCCCGCCGCTCCCTCGCCAAAATGTCTCCCTCGCCAGTTGCCACCATTTTCGGGCGGGCGGGCGGGCGGCGCGAAGCTCGGCAGATGTCAGCCTGGACGGCGGCCGCATTCCAGCACCCTGGACAGCGGCAGAGGCCGCGCCGCCCCGGCGCTCCGCCGATAAAAATAGCCGCGGCGCCCTCCGGCTCGGCTCTCCGGCCGACTCTTCCCGCCGCCGCCGCACCTGGCCGGCGCGGGCGAGGCGAGCGGGGCGCAGAGCCGGACTGGCCGCGCGCTCTTACCTGGGCTCGCCCCCCCCTCGCCGTCCTCGCAGTCCGTCAGGTTGTTGAGCATGGCGCAGCTCGGCTCGCCTCGGCTCCCGGCTGCCGGCACCGGCTGCCGGTTCGGAGGCTTCTCCGCGTCTCCTCGTGCTCCGCTGCAGTGCAGAGCCGAGCCGTCCCCTCCGCCGCCGCCGCCGCCGCCGCTGCTGTCACCGCCGCCGCTCAGCCCCCTTCACTTCATCTTGCATTCAGGAGACATCTCTCCGCAGGTTGGGGAGGGGAGGCGGATCGGGGGCGCAGCGGTGCAAGCGAGCCGGCCGAGGAGGGGCGAGGAGCGTCCACGAAGCCCCGCGCCACCTCCGAGGGCAGCGCAGCTCTGAGCCAGCGGCAGAAGAATTAGGGCATCTGGGGGCTGGCACTGCGGCTCTCCCCCGCAATCCGCCTGCGCTGATGCAGTCTCGTCTGGGGCTGCCTCCTCCTCCCCTCCCCTCCTCCCCTCTCCCCCCCACCCCCCCGACAGTGGAGTGGAATTCGGGGGAAGAGAGCTGGGGACCAACTCTCCCCCTTCCTCTCTCTGGACAGGCAGACAGTCCTGGACACCCCCGTCCCTGGGTCTAGCCGCCCCAGCAGGCAGGACTGGTGCAAAACGGGACCTGGCAGGTAAGGGCCGGGTTTGGTGGAGGGGGCGCTTCTCTAGGCCCCCCCGAGAATGCTATTCTTGTAGCAGGCAGACGAAGTGAGCACAAGGTGCACCCCTTGCTGGGCAGGGGAGAGCTGGCTTTGGCCGTGAACAGAGCCAGGCTGTTTTGCTCCCCCTCCTGGCCCAAGCCAAACTTCTGAGCAGGATGAGGGCCTGGGCTTCCTGCTCACGACTCCCAGCAGGGGGGACTGCAAGGAAAGTGCCAGGAGCCCAGCCTTGCTCCCCATCTGCTCCTGCTGAATTGGCTCCGCAGGGGCCCCCGTCCGTCCCCCAGAGCCAGGAGGAGGCCCCGAAAGCCAGCCTCGGAGGGGCTGCATGCCACCAGCAGTGGCCGGGCTCCTAAGGAAGCAGAGGCCCTGAGGAAGCAGCCTGGAGAGTCGCCTGCTTCCAATGCCAAGGCTGAGGCACAGGTGGGGGGGGGCGCTGAGGAGGTAATGCAGCCCAGCCCCTGTTCTGTGACAAGCTGGTCCCCGCACAGTTGCCCTGATTCTCCTTCAAAACCGCATGTCTGTGCACACACACACACACACACACACAACACCAGCCACCTCCTGCTGGAAACTCAGCGGCTGCTGGACGGAGCTGCCCACCAGCCAGCCACAGCCCCACGGGGGGGGGGTCATTGCCTTTGCTGGCTGTCCAGGAGCTCCAGGCCTGGTTTCCAGCTGGACCCTCCCCCCCCCAGCCGCCTGCCCTGGCCCACAGAGAGAGGGTGGGCGGATGTCTGGGCTGAGACTGGGATCCAGTCAGCCTTGACCCTGCATGAGCAAGACAGGCCAAGCGGGGAAGGGAAGAAAGCTCGGCCTGGGATCCCAGCACCAATCATGGCAAGCCCTCATTACTCCTGCAGGGCTGTAATTACAGGCTGGCTCTTTCCCCGAGCCCTGGCAGCCGCTCGGCTTCACTGCCAGCCTCTCTCCCGCCTGCCCCGAGGCAAGGCCGTGCCCTCTGTGCCCCTCTCTGGATGAGTCGGGCTCAGCCCGCCCAGCGGCTTGGCAAAGAGGAGGGGCGGAGCTGCCATAGGGCTGGGAGGGGGGCTGAGCCCCTCCATCAGGCCAGGCTGGCCCTCTGCTCCCTTCAACTCCCAGGAGCTCAAGAAGACTCACAGCAGACTCCTCCGCTTCCCCCTGAGAGCAACTGCCCCCCCCACAGGCCAAGGGTCAAGTTCCACAGAGGTCTTTCTGTGACTAAATTACTTATGGCCACCCACTATTTGCCAGGGGTCACTTCTCCAATGTGGACGACAACTACCCCTCCCCCCAGGGGTCTGGTCCTATTTGTGAAAGTTTTCCACAGATAAACATGTTTCCCCCCCCTAAGTAATCTGATTATTGGGGACTATAAATACTAACTGCCCATCTGGTGTAGGGTCTCCCGCTTGAGTAGGGGGGTGGACTAGAAGACCTCCAAGATCCCTTCCAATTCTGGTCATCTGAGCAGTTTTCTTCCAGAAGTCGTTGGTGCCTCTCTCACTGGAGGTTTTTAAGGAGAGACTGGACATTTTGTCTGAAATGGCAGAGGATCTCCTGCTTGAGCTGGGGGTTGGACTAGAAGACCTTCAAAGTCGCTTCCAACTCTATGATTCTATGTTCTATCTGAAATTTTCATTCCCACTTCAGGCGCAACGCTAGACCTTTCTATTTTTCCTCTATTTCCAAAACATTTCCAATAAATTGTCTACAATTTTGCAAAATAAACTGGTATTAAGACATACACATCCAATCCGTGGGAGGCTCAGGCCACGGACAGTGCTTGACTTGCTCTATGCCCCCCCCACCCCACCCCCGCCATTAAGGGAGAGCCCATCAAAACGGGAGACTTTCTAACCTTATGAACCATCCATAACTTTCAGGAGAAGAAGCACAACCCTCACGAGGCCATAACATGTCATAAATACAGTAAAAATCAGAGGAAAGTACAATTTAACACTTCAGGCTAACAGCGATAACACGTTATAATAAAAGTGAAGCATTGTTTAAAAATAATCCCTTAATGGCCCGGGGAAGCAGAGGGAGACCAAGAGGAAGGCAGGGGAGGGGGGGTGTTTGCTGCTTACCCCACATGGAGAAATCTTGATAAACGAGCCAAAAAAACCCCCCAGAGGGACTCAAGTCTTCTTCTGCCCCCATCATGACATCCAGGGGAAATGGGGGGGAGGGGTTGGGCACATGCACAACGGGGGAGGGTCCTGGTCAGCAGAGAGGCAGTAAAAAGACGCTTCTAGTCTTTGATAAAGGTAGTCCTTGACTTACAACAGTTCATTTAGTGACCGTTCAAAGTTACAACAGCACTGAAAAAAGTGACATGACCATTTTTCACACTTACGACCACTGCACCTCCCCCGTGGTCACGTGACCAAAATTCAGACGCTGGGCAACTGGTTCGTACTTATGACCGGGGGGGGGGGTCAGGTGGTCCCCTTTTGCGACCTTTAGACAAGCAAAGTCCATGGGGAGGAGCCAGATTCACTTAACAACCGGGTTGCTAACTCGACAATGGCAGTGACTCGGTTAACTGTGACAAGAAAGTAGTAAAGCTCACTTAACAACTGTCTCACTTAGCCACAGCAATTCTGGGGTCATTTGTGGTCCTAAGTAGAGGAATACCCGTATAGAAAGCTGAAGGGACTGGTGGGAGAGCTGTGGGGCTGTCAATCATCTCTCAGGAGGGCCAGAGGATTGAAGAAGAGCAAATCGGGTCCCCCCCCCCGTCAAAAAAGAGAGAGATCCCACTCCTTGCTGACCAGCCAGGCTAGATTCAGAGCCTAGAAAGAGGCTCGGGCACATGGAGTTTGTGGTCCCCTCCAACAGTGGCATCAACCACAGAGAAGTGTGTGAAACTGGCTTGGCCTGAGTCCTGTTCAGAATCCCTCGTAGCTCAGCAGATGCCAGGCACCCAGAAAATTGACTACGTCAAAGACCAAGCTCTGCCTGCTGGGTGAAGGTGCCCTGAAGCTCAGCCGTATTTGGGGCTCATGAAAAAGGGGGCTCAGTCTGGTCAACCTTCCTGGGGTCTCCACCGGATGACCTCCATGAGTTGGCAAACATCTCCAAGAGATGCCAGTCCATCAAGGAGTCGCTTTGGGAGGGCTTCAAAGTTGGCAACCATGACTTATTCCAGCTGGCCCACCCAGAAGACCTGGGAAATGGGTGGTGCGGTGGAAAGAAAGTCATCTGACCCACAATTCCACATCAACATCTTCTCACAACATCCCCTCTTTTCACACAACCGGTTTCACCTGGCGATTGAATTGAAGAATTTTCTGGGTTTCCACCAGACATTTCTTCATAAAGTAGCCCAAGAGGGGACTGCAACCTTAAGCCAAACCCAACCATTCCACATTGTGTGGATGCCACCATTAGGTCTTGGCCCTGACCGGGTTTTGTGGAGACCCAGCCCCTCCTGTGGGAGGTGGCAACCTGGTCTGGTCACATCCAGGATGTAAGCAATGACATCACTCTCTCTCTCTTCTCCCCCCCCCCCGTCCTTCTCTGAAGGGGGACGCAGCCAGCAAACCAGCCAAAAGTGACGTGTGATTTAGTGGCCACCCGCAGCCCCTGGCAGGGAGGCCATCTGAGAAGGAAGGACGGGCCCCGGGGGAGGAAGGAGGAAGATGGAGGAGCAAGCCACCAAAGAGGGACTTCCAGAAAAGACCACTCAACCCCGAGAAACGGAGAACGGTGAGGTTGAAACTCAGAATAAACCCACCTTGATTTTGTTTGTTGTATGATGGGGCAAATGTCTACTCTATGGGGATCCTCAATCGTCCAGGTCACGGCTGTCTCAAAAGTGCTTTTCCAAAAGGCAACTGGACTTTTTTGTTGTTGTTGTTTTCTTTGAAAACGTTTCGCTTCTCACCCAAGAAGCTTCTTCAGTTCTTCCTGGATGAGAAGCGAAACGTTTTCCAAGAAAAAAAAAAAAACAGGAAAGTCCAGTTGCCTTTTGGAAAAGCACCTCTGGTGATTGGACAAACAGGAACTCTGCCAAGTTTTCAAGGTCCAGTTGACTTGGCCCTCCACAGCTCCAGAAGTTCCAGATGTTAAACCTGCAACCTTCCACGCATACTTTAATCAGCATCTCCTCCCTCAATCCCTGCCTCTTAATTTCCACTTTCTTTCCCCTCATCAGCCACTCTTTGCCTCCAGTGTCTGCTGACTCCTCTCCCCAAATTCCGTCGAAAGCAGACGGGGAGGCTGGGCCAAACGACTCCCCACGCAGGACAGCATCGCCCAGTCACAAAGAAACCAGGCAGCCTTATAAATGTCACAGTAATAACATCTCACCTCAAGCTAATCATCCATATTATGGCCCAGTTCACACAACACGCTAAGGCAACATCTGAGTTCCCCCATCTTGTTGAGCCCACAAGAGCAGGGGTCCCCAATCCCCGGTCCGGCACCAGTCCATGGCCTGCCAGCAACCAGGCCACGCAAACAAATGAAACCCCATCCATGGAATGCAGGCAGCACACAATACCACACCCCTTCTAGTCCGTGGAAAAACCTCTCTCCACGGAACCAGTCCCTGGTGCCCAAAAGGTTGGGGGCCGCTGTCCAGGAGTAAACATTGCCAATATTACCTCCAAGTTGTCTTAGAAACAGGAATCCAACTCTGAAAAGAAGGACTGAGGGTGAGCGGCCTTCCACTATCTCAGGGGCTACCTGGAATTAAGAAGAAACTTCCTAACAGTGAGGACAATTAACCAGTGGAACAGCTTTGCCTCCAGA